TCAAAACATTCTCTTCATATGTACAACATTTTAATTTTCCTTGTTTTGACATTTTTGTCTTTTTTAATTTCGTTGTTTTGTAACTTTTACGGGGGAGGGGTGCGATGCGTGATATCTTCTGTTTGTCATTGTGTCTCCTCAGTTTCTGCTGTTTTCTATCCATTATGCTAGTTTTCATCCCTGAACTATGTTATACGTGTATTGTTCTCCTGACATGTTATGTAAGCATAAGTACATTCCTTTATCTTTGTACGGTATATCAAGTTAAGTCGGGGTGTTTTGAGGGTAGGGCGGTCACGTCGGTAATCTCGCTATTTTAGCGTTTTTGTTTGAAATCCGCGCATTCAGTCATAAAATGTTTGACTGTAAATGACTGATGCCATGTATAACAATGAAGTTGCTCTTTTTTTATGTTAAATGTAACTATGTGTTATGTAGGGTTGGCCTTTGCGCAGTCGCTAGAGAACAATCTCCTCTCTACGGCACGCTCCACCTGTCGCAGGTGAACCTACGTTAGGTTGAACTGCGAATCATTTGTTGTTCACCATTTCAGACCATTTATTTTGCCAATTCGTTCTAATACAATTCGCGATTAAAGGTTTGAAATGTTATTTTAATGTAGTAGTGTTAATTTTGTACGTAACGCATTGCGGCAAAACTTTTAGCGCGCGCTCGGAAATAGCACGTGTAAATGAGAGTAAGGTACGGGGCGGATGTGATGTAATGAGTTGTAAACCTGTTTGTCCAGTACGTATTGTCTATGTATAGTATTCTTAGTGTTGAATGTTGGGTAGTTTACCTGGCGCACTGGTCACTTTGAACAGAGCGGCCAGAGCGAACACAGCTTTATACTTGCACCTATACGTACAGTACTATACCTAGCCAGCATAGGAATTGAAAGATGTACCGGGCACTAGAGTCAAAAGCACTAAACGTAAGTACCCGTGTATGAAATATTATAGTATCTATTGAATAATATATTTGATTTACGTAATGTTTTTGTTTAAAAGTAAAGTTAATAATTTAAAAGTCTCTGTAAATAGAGAAATCGGGCGGTGTCAATTTACATGTAGTAGACAATTGATTTCGAGGAAGCAAGTTTTTAATATATATCGTTTCCTTTTTACAGTGTTTACTGAATGAGTCAAACTGAGGACTCGGCGGACTTTGTCCGAGAAAACCCTCTTCACATTGAAGAGGTGGGTATTTTATATATTTGTAATTATGCTGTATAATTAGATAAAGTGTAAACTGTAACTTCTATATAACATATAGATTGAGTGTCAGTTTGTAAATACATATTCAGCTATTGTAACTTATGTAACTGGCTACGGCCAGGTAGTTGTTTGACATATTTTAGCTTATGTGATTGTATGAATGTTACAATATGTATAGTAACAAAACAAAAAAAATCCAAAAAGGACAAAAACTCGAATTTGGTATGGAAAAACAGATGCCAACATGTATAAACTCGAGCATATATGAGTTTGTCGCAGCCTACTCAAATATGAAGCGGAATATCGTATTTATGTGGACTTGATGTCAGCTAGAAATCATAAAACCGTTATGAGAGATAGAAAGCAAAAAAAAAAAGGTATCGTGACATTTCATGCATATAGAGAGGAGAAAACATGAGATGTAGGTACCAAACTATGTATGAGTCAAAGAAACAATGAATCCAAAAACGATTTCAGTGTTCAGATCTTATCATGTAAGCTTGATTCGTTTTGGGAAATTGCGTTTCGGCAATAATCACCAATTGTAGAATAGAATATAGAGGTTAAAGGATACCTAACCTACAGACACACCAGAAAGGGAATGTCGACTGATCGAAATCATTCAAATCATTATGTTGAATTAGTCTGGCACTATCTTTATTGGACAATATCATAGCTTTCATGTGTTACATTGACATTGTACAATGTGCTAGTGTTGTTCATGGGGAAAAGGCCATAACGTCATTCCACGCAATCCCCCTTGTTAACCAGTACTCCTCCTAATTTTGAAATTCATCAAAATAATAAAAGACTTGTTCATGCTCAGGGGTGTAGGATAGGGACTTTGCCGAGGGTTTTGCCAAATTTGAAAATCCCGAGGGTGGAATATCCCTATACTACACCCTTGGGCATGAAAAAGTATTTTTCTCTCATTTCAACCACCAGAATAAGCACAGAAACCATGAAAATACGTTTGGACTGGCCACCATTTTGAAAATATAATTTTTTCCTCTGAGCTTTTCAGACGAAAACAAATCAGCCAGCCAGATTTAGCATATCCCATATTTACGAACAATGTTTGCACAGAAAAAATAATCACATGTTTCTAACGTGTCGGGTACATATATAGTAAATGATTTAATTTCATCACGTCGCCTTTTCCACTTTGCGACATCGGAGAGGTCCAAATAAGTGACGTCACGTCATTGGTGAGCCATTGTGACGTCACGTCATGTGAAATGGGGTGTAAGATTAACAAAAATGTTCTTCTACTCTGAGGGGTGATGTATTTCGGTTGTCTAACCCGAGGCTTTGCCGAGGGCTAGACAACCAAAAATATCACCCCCAGGGTTGGAGATTTCTATGTCACACCCTTAAGGTAGGGGATGATTATTTTTCTCCCATCCTATTATTTCAGTCACAATTCCACCGATAGTAGTGTAAACAAAAACACATGTCGGGTAGGAATATCGTCGTTCACTTTTGATGACGTCACAATTACCGGTGACGCGTTTTAATGACGTCACAATTGACACGTGCTAATCGGCACGAGGCTGTCTCCCCCGGGGACACTCCTGTGAAGGTAAGAAATTTCCTACACACCTTTCTTACCATGGACAGCTCTATCTTAATGAGAGAAAAGGGTTTACGCAACCCTCTTCTGTGTCAACAGTAGTTTCGTTTCCAACATTTTGGCCCGTATCATCACCGATGAGAAACATCTGTATGCTAAAGTGTTATTCATTTTTGAAATACTGTGTTTATTACATAATGTTAATGGTGCAAGCACATGTCTGTGTGTCACGTTCATATGGTATGTACAATCCTCGCGTGATCTATCCATTGTTATTATCCTTCTGTTTTTGTGTCACAACCTTCCCGATTTCATTTCCGAAAACAGCATGTTCAGAAATAAAGTTATTGTCGAGCTTACCTCTCATTGTTACTTTCTTCGTCCATATTTGCTGCTGTATGACTTTATCTTACATTTCCGTTCCGTTTTTTGTTTAGTTATCTGTCTTTACAGAGCAGTGTGACAAGCTGTTCAGTTTGTCACCAATGATGTACCTGTATCAGTTGAACCCAGTGAAAATATAAATAGCCTCATTTCTCCAACCGTAATTCCGTCAACAATTTGAAATCAAGTGTTCCGCTAAAGCCAGCGTTTTAACTGCACATGTCACTATACTTGTATAACCTGTCTAATCCTGGAAATTTAAAAGTCATCGACGATCTCACAAGTGTTGAAACACATTAGTCTCTAACGTCCCGTAGTTTGTATTCAGGAAGATAACCATTTTGTTCCCTTCAAGGCGGTATACATTGTTGGCACATACTCACCCTCAACATTTGATGTATTTCAATAAAAAGTCAACAACCTGTCTATCATTTGCATGTTTTACTATGAAGTTCACAAGTAGTACAATTCACATCATACTGTTGTCATGACACATACAATCATATTTACAATTGTTGTTGATATGGCAATTTTCTCCCACCTCTACGTATACGTGTCCAATGCCTCAAGGGTGTAATCTTGTATGACATCATTATCAGTGATGGCATTATATTATGAGGTAATAATCGAAAGCGCACCAAAAGTAGTTAAAATCAGGTCGGCAAATGACACCCCCGAAAATGAAAAATATCACAAAAAGACAATATGGCAAAAACAGTAGAACTATTACCTCCATTTATTGACCGTTTTTAGAAGATAATGACATTTCTCATTGATATTAAAAAATGTAAATATCAAATATTTGAATATCAAAAAAATATTTTGCATAACTTTTGAAATATTTCGTTAAATCTTCTAAAAATGATGGGAACTTGAATATTTGTTTTCAATAAAAAAGAAACATAGACTGATTTACTGAGATAAAAGTGTAAAATGAAGCAGTTTCACTTTCATAATTTAAACAATAGTTTTTAGCTCAATTATTTTTGCGGTAAAAGAATAAACCAAAACACAGTTTTTGTGTAAAATGGAATGTTTGACCTGACACGGACATATGACTTTTATACATTTTCTGTTATGACATTTCTCATAAAAAATTACGTATGAGAAAACCCCCAAAATATAATTCAGAATTTGTTTAACTTCTCAAAGACGTACATTCGTAAATAGGAGTTATACCGTTACATATGGTACTTTTTTCTGCTATTTCAAAATCACACCTAAGTTTGTGAATATGTTTTTCTTTAAATTTTACGATATTGTTGCATTTCCATTTTCTATGTAGTGTTTTACCAAATGTCAAATGGCTTAGAAATGGGAGAAAATATTTCAACGCTAAGTTGGCATTAGGAATACAATTATGTGACTCTCGGGTAGAATATCCATACCCCTTAAATACACGTAACAGACTCTGTAAGGAGTGCATAACTGATCGAACAACAATTGAATTCTTCTCAGGGACACTGTTCTATTGTAATGAATACCGGAATGTACATACGAAAGCATTCAAATACATCAATACGAGAAGAGGACGGATTTCGTTTGTTTTTGGATAGCTTTGCATTATAACACATGAAACTTTTAAGAAGAAAATTGAAGAAAAATGTACAACGCTTTGCTTGCATTTTTAGTCAAATTTACCTATCACTGGGAAAATGATACATTATGAATGCAATTTAAATAACTTTTATTCAATTGATTATATCAGATGAATAAGATATACGTGAATTTAAGCCGAAAATCGTTCATAAGTTAAAAACCGAGAAAAAGGAAAACGTCTTGACTAAATCGCAATATTTTTCAATTAAAAATAAAATTAACGCATATACAATATGTACAATAAAATCAAGCTGAGAATTTACATTCTATATATTTTAACAGTTATTACTATTCTTTTGATTCTTCTACATTGATAAACTTAAATCAATTTACAAATTTTACAGACATTTAATTAGGACGTGGCAAAATAGCTCTACTACAGTAAAGATGGTCCCAAATATTTTCAATGATTAAAATATTAAACGCAAGAAAGCTCTTTTTATGGTGCAGCATTTGCTGCAGTTACCGATTCGATTTCAAGCCCGACGACTATAACATAAAACAGACACAACAGACATATCAGAGGACACATTCCCGTTTAAACCATATATTTGTTTGCGTACGTTGACTGGATTGCAGGCCCCGTGAGACGGTCATCTTGTCTATAGTACGGCAGCGACTGATAGTATAGTCCGGACGAGGTTAACAGACACATCATAGGCAAGCATCCATTACCTCCTGTTGTTCCCTCCATAAACTTTCTACGCATTATGTCTGTAAAACATACACCACAATTAGCAAATTAGAAAATTTTACCAGATGTATGGAATCCATATCATCTTTGAAGTTTTATAAACACTTTTTCTTTCAGATAAACAAAAATCTTGAAATTGTTCTTAAGAATTCTATATTCTATTTAAAGCAAGAAACAGTATTTACATTTTAACGAAAAACAATCTTGATGACAGTGTTCAAATACGTCTCATATTTGTGTTAATGAACAAATGTATGAAATGGTTTACATAAATTAACCAATCTTCTTATTCATCAGTACAAGCAGGCCAAAACTATATAATGATAATATATTACCTCCCGCAGAAGAAAGTGAATGATTCATTGAGCCATCCATGACACTGTTGCCAGAAGAAGAGGTGGATTCATAAGACACGTGGGGCGTCTCCCTGGCTACAAAAGTTAATAAACATATTTAATGACAATATGTATGACTTATGATGAAAATGCATGCAACAAGTAAGAAATGTAGGTGTAAATACAGTTGTTAACTTAAAGATACAGCAGTTATAGATAATATATATTTATACAATTGAAGTATGTGCATTGAGCGACTTTACTTCCTATAAAACAAATGACGCCAATAAATAAATCATCTGCAATTATTGAAGGCAAAAATGAGAACAGATTTTTTTTGTTATCGTATTGCATCCTGCTGATTGCGTGTCAAACATAGCAATGTTAAAACATGCGTTGATTTACGTTCTTGTGATTTACAAAGAATATTTGCGCTTTCTTTATCGTAATCTGTATGTTTTAATAGGTTTCTAACACATGACATCCGTTAATTTTGTTTGAGACAGGAATATTGAGGGTATAATGTGTAAGGTAGCTTATAACTTAACTTTAACAAAACTAGCGGTTACATTGTGAAACGTTGAATAAAGCCTTCGAATCATGGAATTAATCTGCCGTATTGCATATATTTATTAGAGACATATTGAGATGTAAAAAAATCAATTCTGATTTACACGATTGTAAAATTACAGATTGATGACAATTACAAAACACTGGATATTTACATTTCCGGCGGAGTTTCTTCTTCTTTACTTGTATGTCAACATCTACGTCTCTGTAAAGGAAAAATAACTGTTAGGGGCATTTGATGAAAGTTTTAGTGATTTTGTATCCTTTGTGTATCCGTGAACTATGAAAAAGACATTTGTCTTGATTACGAAATATATCGTAACGAGACGTCTTCAGTATGGTGACAAACATGACCCGAAGTTATATTGAATTACACTGCGTCGTTTTTACACGCTGAATATCAAAGGTGATATAGAGAAGGTGTTGAGCTTCCACTATTCTTGTATTTCTTCACCTGGCTGATCATGTGTAGGGCCTGCTTCCGATAATTAAAAACACAATCATGCAAGTTAAAATGTTTGACATCGCACAAAAATATTTGATTATGATGAAAAATAGTTTGTTCAATTGGATACAACGAGTATGTATATTGGGGTTTTTTTCATGTAAAATAGAAAAAAATACAACAAAATGACAAATATATATCTATGAACTGAATACTTTGATGGTGTATTTTGAACAGGGCAGTTATCAACGTTTACCATGTAGGAAATATAATGCCACTGTTAATCGGTAGACAGGCATTTCTTGGACAGTAAAGCATGCATGAATAATTTCAACAAGTCATACATGTACAATGCTCATCTAAATGTCACTCCGTGTCGCAAATTTTAACAGGCTAGACATGTGTGTATATTCAATCGTTTCCACACACATCCTTGTTAATTTGGCTTGACAGTAATTTAGCTACAGGCCACAGAAAGTATGAAATTCTAGGATGTGCATGGCTTGGTGTTAAATTGAGGCGTCATCTGAAAAACATGTTTGCATGCAAAAAACCCAGCTGTTATGAATTAGAATATGTATTTGAGTCATCACAAACATGTCTTCCTTAATCAGCCAATACGCATGTAACACATATTTGACCTGTGATAAAGAGGGAGGCGTCCCAAAGACCTGCGAACCCTTTTTTAGGTGATGCAGTTATTATCAATTTTCCAAAACAAATGTAACGACCAAATACGATCACTTAACATTTTATACTTATTTGCCTGGAAGTGAAATTCAAAGTGACCTAATTTCAACGTACTGTGATATTCTTTGGCTGATGCTGGAGGTTTCATAATTTTTTAAGAACAGTTAAAATAAATATGACCCGTGAAAGGTTTCAGAAGAAATTCAATTTTTTGACCGTATCCGGTACGGTTGAAAAGTTATGACTCCAGCATTAAAATATTTGATGATATTATTAATACATACAGAATATTATTCGTTATTTACTGAAGGTCCATTCAGTCGAATAACAAGTGTTGTACTGTAAATGGTTCGTGGCATTTCATGCATTGAGCCTAGTCTTCGCGCTTTATAAATAAGATTGAATTCTGAACCGGAGACGGCATGGACAACAACGTCTCAGAGGCATTATCTATCTTAGTTGGTTGCTTACCAGGGTTTAACGTCCTATTTACAGCTCAATGTGTGTATGTGTTCTGCAGACAGGGTTTGTTGGTAATTGCCTCCTTGTGATAGTGCGGATATGATGTCGACTTTATAGTGCTATTTCATTTAAATACCATGTCGTAGGTACCCATCACTACATTCCGCTCTGTCACATTATACTGACAATGGGTGAAACAGTTGTTGCCATTTCCCTAAACGCTGAACATTAAGCAGTGAATAGCAACTGCCAATTTAAAGGACTTTGGTTTGGCCTCGGAACATAACCCATTGCTTTCCCCACCTGGACGAACGTTCAGCATTAAAGCCAAAGTGAGGTACTACCAAGCAGGGCGCTAGGAAACAACAGTTAGTTAGAAGTAGAACTAAATACGAAGATTCTGAATATTGCAATCAATGGGTGCTTCATATTAGCGGTATAAATTTCCTTTCATTCGAAAGGGATAACATATCATTAGATGATTAAGGTCACACTGTCTCATGGGTGCTGAAGAAGAAACAAAACTTTAGTAATATTTTCAGGTTGCAGAATAGATTTCATCAACATAAGTATATATAGGGATTGAACGGCATTATTTAGATTTTCATGCCGGTAAGGACGCAAATCGGTTACATCCATGGCAGGCTTCATGTTTAATACGGATGTAACCGATTTGCGTTCATAACGGTATGAACATTTAAAAAACGCTGTTCAACAAATATATATACATTTTTAATAAAGAACAATTGTTTAATTTTAATTTGTTCTTAAATTATTAATTTATTACTGGGTTTTGTATAAGCGCCGTCCTTTAAACGATATTGGCGGAACTGCCCTATTTAAATAAAATAGGCGTCAATAATTAATCGTATTCATTTAAGCGTTTGACACAGGGGCGTTCTCCATGTTATCCAAAGCGAAGCAACAAGACTCATTAAACAAGTTTAATCTATGACGTCATAAGTAAACCACGTGTTACGTCACGATATTTATGCTTTCATACTCAAATAAAATGCATTTCTGCTCGAAATGTTCATAAAGTGGGTCACAGCGCAAATGTAAATATATATGTATATTATTATTGAATATATGACTTGAAATTCGAAAAATAATAAAATATTTAACTAAAAATTCTACCATAATATACTCTGAGGTGTAGGTTATGCCATTACTAACATTTTATTGGAAGCATGCCGCTTTCCGTGAGTGAGAGTCGAGCCCGAAAGACAAGACCTGGTTTGCCTGTATGAAAAAACATCAAAGACCTTTAATTATGCATTAAAACACAAGTATATGTACAGTAATTCAGTGTTTTACCAATGATTGACACAACTGTGATGTTGGTTGCCAATTTGTGTTTGTGACAATATTAAAAAGACTTGGAGAATACGCGGTTTCTTCGACTCTGGTGCCGAAGACGAACTCAATATTGCTTCGACTATGATTTTGAGTGTAACTTTTTAAACAATGTATGCTAATCATTCTTTCGATTCATATCTTAAATAGAAACTAATTCAGTTTTAAATCATACACAATGGCACCCATTCTATATACAGTTGAGTCTTTATGTAAAACAGAAGCAATATGCAAACACAGTTGTGATTGCACAATGCACCAAAAATAGCGTGCGCACATCGTGCATACATCTTGTGCAACAATCGCTCGCCCCATTATGTGCTTCTCTCCACAGCGATTTGATATAATTGGTTGAATAGGCTCATAGGCAATAATTTACACTGTAAATATTAATTTCACATCACAAAAATAAGATTATAATCATCTTTACAAATTTAAGACAGTCAAGCATGGTTTGGCTCTAAGGTAACACAACAGGTTAAAAAAAACTTTAGACGACTGAGTTTTGTCCCTGGCCTGTGTCCGACAGACAGCTGTGACCTGCAATACCTTATGACCGTTATGAAAACACCGCATTCTGTCTAAAGTTCCCCTTCACCTGGATTTTCTCACCTCGAAGAGTTACTAAGTGCCCTGGTTAAGGGAAACTGAGATCAAGATACTTGTACAAAGTAGCAGTGTTTACCTGTATATGAGATTGTGTCAAAATTTCTTGAAATTAAAACGACACGGAAAACACTATTTCTAAATTCCTGAAAATTCAAATAGGAAGAAAAGCTAATAGATGTGGCTAGAATATAGACACATACTTAAAGATACAGTTTATGTTCGAACACGACACCGTTTATATTGTTGAGCCATTCCTTAATTTACACCAAATATGATTGTTACCGCACAACGTTCGTCCATCGTGCGCACAAGTAATTATCGTTCAGATTTTGATTGTTCGCACATGATGCACATATCGTGCGCACACCGCGTAACATTGTGCGATCTTACAGCTGTATTGTAATACAAACGTAAAACATCAATACTTTAGGTAATATAGAACATAACATACCCAATACAACACTTGTACAGAGGTAAGATGAAACAGAGGTATAACTGATATTATACAAAATACAGACGTTACATAAATATAATTGATAATGATAATATTAACGGAATATCGAATACGAAAGCAAAACTGAACAGCTGTACTACAGAAGTACCACAAAAGTCGTACGTCAGTACTGAATACAAAAATAATATTAAATTAAGATAGAAGTCATGCAAACTACAATTAAGTTATACTGATGTAGCAATAACACAGGGGAGTACAAAAGTTATACCAAATACGAAAGTAATACTGGAGAATTACAAAACTGTAAATTGTAAAATATTATACTGAAAACTATAATCAAGTAAAACAGGTCATGCCACGTAAGAAATACTTCATATTGCACAAGTAATGCAACAGCAAAACTTAAGTAATAAAGGAGAATTGACGAACAATGCAGCAGTAATAGACAGTTTTTGTTTAAGTATTACGAAAGTAACGACCTTGTTTGTAGATCATTGATATAGGCATTACCTGTGTGAAAGCACAGTTGTAATTTCTGTACAAGATGATACATTGAAAAAAACCCCTTATTGAATACTTATTATACAGATCTGTGTATAAAACAGTTATACTGCCGCTGGTGAATGATACTTACTCTTTACCTTTTACAATTTAACTAGTTTTGTACATACGATATTTTCTTGTTCTTGAACGCTCTCGCAAATGGGTTATGGGAGATTTTCAGCCTGGTGATGTTTTCGTTGAGGTATGCGGTAAGTGCAATAAAATCGGTGCCAGGGAGGATAAAGCTGTACAAGTGGTCATCCCTGCTATGATGTACTACGTTGATCTGTATCAAATACTTATGCATAGACTCCAGACAAATCTATAAGAAGAAATAAAATAAAACCCAGTTAAGCATATGACAAAAACACTTACACAACAAGTCTATAAAAAGTAGAGATTTGGCACATTAGTCGTATCCTGTTACCAACATAAACATATTGTAACGGTAAAGCAGCCATTTTTAATAACCTTTACTAACCTTATTATAGTGAATAGTTATTTACACTTATAATATTTTGATCATAAGATTAAAGCATAGCATTTCTTTTCCATTTCATAGTAAACGATTACGTTTAAATACACTTATATCAATATTGAAATACAATTTTACTGTAACATATAGGAATTATCACGTATGCTTTAAAATGTATCGTCATATCACAGTATAACTTAGTTTAGTCGGCATTTGACCTTATTAAATCTAAGCATATTTACATATACTTACCTCTTTATGGTTAAATTACAGAATTCTTTACGTGTATTTATCAGGACTGGTAACACGGACCTTGATAAACCGTTTTAATTCGTTTTCAGATATCCCTACGATATGTTGTCTTTAAATTACAAGAAATTTGTTGATAACGTCAGTAGCATTTATCCTCCTGAATTTTAAATAAAGGTTCAAGAAACGTTTAAATAGGCTGCTTACCTCAATCTTTATTTATAGCATACCATCAGGGACGGCTTACAACTAAGCTGTACGATAAGCGTGGCAATTTCGATATTCCGACCGTGCTTCCCCAATCTACTGTGTTCCCATGTCGCAGTTGATTTAGTATTCAACGACTTTGTTCCGAATATCACGATGTTTAAAGTCCTCGCAATAGTCATGTTCATATGTGGAGGGTTGCCTAGGGAGACACCTCTTGAAATAGACAGTAGAAGGAATAGAAGGAAAACAATAGAGATAGCAAACGGAAAAGGTAAGTGTTGCAGTGGGTCAGCAGATCGAGGTTGGTCTCTCCCATGGTCCTCTTCGGAGAAGACAAAGAAGAAAACCCTCGATTCTGCAGGTGCCCCGTTTAGACTCCTTTTACGCTCTCAATACCGATTCTGCTCGGGTTGACAGTGAGTGGAAGGGAATCAAATGAATTACACTGAACCCATCTCTTTTATACCAGGAGTTGTCGTATATGGCACTGCGGACCATGAAACGTGTATGATGGCGCATACGCGACAATAATGTTTACGAAGCATCCGAATCCAACAATTTAGATCTTCTCTTTTCCTTGCTAGTATTTCTTGTATCTTGATGTAAATTGTGATTGAGTCATTATGTTACTAATTTTTCGTATTTTCTAAAAATATCAATATGAAATATCTATCCGAATATTCAATATTTATTTTCAGTATATGTTTTGCTGCGATATTCTCTAATTTTTTCAAGATGTTGCAAAATTAAAAGAATATACTAATGTCCTTAACATGGTAGTTTTCATTCCCTGTAAATAGTTGGTTAAGGAGCAAGTCTCCTTCAACATTTTGTCACTAGCTCCTTGACCATAATAACTTGATCATGTAAGTGTTGACGATATCTCTTTTAATATCCTGTTAAGTAAACAATATTCAAAACACTACACAACACTGCTTAAAACGTTTTTTTTTTTACATAAACATGTGAGAAAAGTTACGTAGGGACTGTCAATAAAATATCTCTGAAGACACCAGCTCGAAAACCTCATATGTTGTTTTTCTAGATACAGTGGGTGAAACAATCGCTTCATCGCCGTATTAGAATCGTTTACATGTAGATGTTTAATGACGTTCGTTTCTGCTCAGAAGTGACAAATTCCGACATTGATCTGCAACTTCGAACACTTGGGCGAGAAGTCGACAATACAATCCGGTAGCCCCGATCAGAAATAGTGATAGAGATATTTCCGTGGAAGATGATATTTTGACAAATAAAGTACTAGAAAAAAAAAAAAGATCATCGGGCAATGAATAATGGCAGAGTGCAATACCAAAACATTCCAACAGACCTTAATGGAAATACTAAAAAACGTAATAAAGATTCATTGATTACAAAGCAGGGAATTCGAACAATCAAATGATTTTGGAATCCTGTATTGACATATCCGAACCACAAGAATCATACACGTAAGTAGGAATATAAAATGAAAGGCAATGTACAACACACGCTACAAACACTGATATACACAAACCTGCAATTTACAACATGTTGGTGAGCATTCCCCGCAAAGATTCGACAAACTGGTTTACTGTTCATTGGTCTGCTGACTCACCCGCGTCCTGCTACATGCAAGTGTACGAGTCTTACATGTTCTTTATACTTATTTCTGATACGCTCACTAAATTATATATATTTTAAGGAATAGATAGTTTTACCGTATACTTACAGTAACAGAGTTATCTCGAGTGATTCTACAGCAATTTCACGTTCCATTTTTAAGCTTTTTAGTTCCTTTCCGGTTCCCGGTGAGACGATGTGCTATAGGTAGGTTTGCACTCTGTACTTCCGTCCGTCCATTACGTTTGTCCGTCACATTGAGTAACCAGATTTGATATGATTAACTCTCTCTCATACTAATTTGGGTGTCGACCGTCAAATGCTTTTTCGTGTTCTCATATTACTTCTGCAGTTGCTGGATTCAATCCATAACCAAGTTTGCGTCTAGCAATCGGAGGTTTTTTAACAGTACCAATGAAAAGCCTTTACAGTAAGCGAATTAATCATCCCTTATTGACCCAAGAAAGAAACTGTCATAACAGTTTAAAGCCCGACTTGAATTCAATCCAAAACATCCCGCTTTCATCCCAGTATTGAGCCCAGAAAACCATATGTTTTCGTGCGCGTAGAAAAATGACCCTCTTGTCATCGACAATTGGCATCTGAATTAACAAATTTATCGTAGGATTTAAACATAAATTGGAATAACTTAACTGAATAAAACATACAGGAGTGTTCACCAAAGGAAATAAAAACACCTGCTGTTAATTTTGCTTTGCAAGAGTGGGGGGAAATCCAGTGCAATGCCGAAATAAAACAAATCCTCCTTTTGGAAACGCATTTCGGAGTTCCACGCTAAAAAAACCACAGCTTTACACTGATGGTTCTAATCAAGGCAAAACAGTTGCAGCAGTTGCGAACGTTTGTACTGAAATCCCACTGAAGTCGGCGACTCCATTTTCTCTGCAGAAGAATATGCCACCGGTTTGGCCCTTGACCTTATCGATGAACTCCGCATTTTAATTCAATCGTTTGTTCACACTCTTTGCATATTCTGTTTCTCAAAGAAATGCACAAAAAACTTCTCCGTGGATTCTGCGACCCGTTCGATTTAAAGATGCAGACAGAACGGTTAAAAAAGGTAAATCGCCCGAATCAATCCAGTATAAAGTTGCTATATATATAATCTTAACCCCGATTGACGATTCGAAATGAATAGCAGAAAATGGTTCGTCGAGAACAGCGACAACGTTTAGACGTGTAAGCAGAACTAGTAAGCCTTGTCGGAAAGACAGCAGAGAGGAAGCTGTCCTTTGTCGGGTGCTTACTTCTCCTACTTATCTCACTCATTCGTATTCTGAACCACCACCACGCAACGCATCTTACTCTCCATTAACTAAAAAGAATTTCAAAAGAATGTTTAGATTTTAGATACAGTCGGGATGAAGTTGTCCTAGTTTTTATGTTTGGAGCCTTTAAGGCAATGTAATTCTTTGTCGAAGACATCGTCTATTCTAAAGATATTCATACATTTGACCCCTATACCTCATTAAGGAGGGAACAATATATCAGAGCACTATAATTTTACTTTAACTTTGATATTGTATCCCCATGCCATTTAATCTACACATATCCCGCTTCCGATTTGTAAAACATTAAGAATATATGTTTTTACTCGGTTTCTTTTTCTTTCTTGCTGTTGTTCCGGTTATTAGTTTGAGCCCGACATATACTTCTGACTTACCAATTAATTCCGACATATATCTACATGTTATCAGTTTTAAAATACCCTTACCTACAGAGACTAATTTATACCTGACGACCAATTACCAGTTTCTCTTAAGGGCGTGTTGCATATCTACCATTACTTATTTGAAGTTAACATATCCATGTCAATTAACATATGCAGTTCCGGGTAAATTATATCGTCATGTCGTAAGATGTGGATATTGTTTGGCCAACTACTTGCGTCTACAACTAAGAAGAAACCGAAGAGACAAACACCGATCTGCTGCCCCCATTGTAAGGTTTACACTCTATTGATCTTACAATAAATATGATATATAGTGCAGTCAATTTGTTCGTTATTGATGTATTTCTTTAATCCTTTACACATTTTAAACTATTAAGTTTTGGTTTGATATGTGTTAATTTTCATGAATGTCTCTTTTTAAAGTATTGTTGGCCCTAAATGAGTCACATTGTCGATGGGCCGTTAAACAATACAAAACAAACAAAACAAACATCTTTCAGCGTTATCTCCCTTGGTACCCGTCTTCATATGGCCTAAGCTGTTCCGTGGAAGAAAACATCCCAAACAAACAAACAAAACGAAATATGCCAGTCACTCATTTAACCCTTTAGCGGTTACTTAATTCAAGGAAGTCCTACCAGTAGTTATTAAAAAAGATTTTACTCTTATTTACATAAAACAAAACTACCAGTTATGAACTTACCTGTTGCCAACTGAAAGTTTACACAAACCTATCAGTTGCTTACAACTTCTACTTATCCGATACTTTACTTACTTACTCGTATTAATCTGTATTGGTTACCTATTTGAGTCGGTCACATACTTAGTATTTACTTATGTTAACATCCCTGCAGGCGGGGGATCGGGAAAAGAATACACCAACTGTTAACAACTGCATTGTATCGTAGGAATCGAATAATGCTGCAACCCCCTGCATAATTGGGGATTTGCTTTGGTGTCCTCTATTTGGGGACACAAAAGCGACAAAAATAAATATGCTGCGCCGATTGCAATATTTTGGATCCTTGTCTTTCTTTCTACTTCTAACTACCTTTTATTTCCTAGCACCTTGCTTGGCAACACCTCACTTTTGGCTTGAAATTCGAGCGTTTGCCTAGGTGGGGAAGGCAATGGATTCTGTCCCCAGGCCGGGACATACCAAATTCCTTAAAAATGTTAGTTGTTATTCCCTGCTTAACGTTCAGCATAGAGCTATTACAAGGAGGCAAGTAAACAATCATACCCTGTTTCCAGCAAACATACACACTTGCACGCTTACACAACACACATGGAGGCATGTCATGAGCTGTTAAAAGGTCAGTTAACGAAATAATACCAAAATCAAATTTAACTTTAAACATATATAAGGGTTTATAGTTCTAATCTGGTAATACTTACCAGTTACGTACGTCAACTTACTTCAATTGAACACTTTTCCGCAACTTATTTTTACTGAGTAAAGCGATTTTAGTTACCCCTACTTCCTATTTTTCAATGAAAAAATACTCATGTTTTCACCGATTTTGCAAATTTAACGCTTAATATAAAAAGTTCTGCTATTGATCTTTTCTTAATATTTAATGAATCAAAAGAAAATAGGGTTCTCTTTCTAAAACAGCCACAAAAATGAGATTGTCCGTGAGCTTCTTTTTTTACCCTACATATTTTTATTTCATTTTTTTTTTTTTAATATTTTGGGGTCAAAAATTTGAAAGTGGTTCAGTTATAAAAAATATGTGAAAGAATACTAATCTTGTATAATTTCCGTCTTTGTAGCCTATTATTTTCATCATATTGAACACAATAAAGTTGTACAGCAAAATTGAACTTGTTACAATTATAATTTGCGACACACTTGTGTTAAAAATAGTGAAATGTTTGCCTTTCGTGAAGCGCAAAAAATGCACGTTTCAAAATGGCCGCCAAATTGGTCATTTTTGAAAATTCTTGTAAAAAAATATTCTACAAACAGCAGGCTTTAGTTTTGTGACACATTTTTTGCAGCATGTTTGATATTTTAACCTGTGGATAACCACCGGCTACATATTTAAGCCTGACTTGACTCTACCGCTATCTATTTTTATACGCTCGTCGTCCGACTGGTCGTATATTGGTATGGACTGCGCTGTGTGTCAGTCCGAGCGTCCGTCAACTTTTCCTTGTCATCGTTCTGCTGGCTTCATTCATTAACATATCTTGATAAAACCTTGTACGCAAATTGTATACCATTAAAGCTAGAACGAAGTTGTATGTCAGAAGTTTACGTGCATTTTTAGTGGAGTTATGCCCCTTTTAATTCCAAATAAGGGCATTGTGAAGTAAATGCAAGAACTGGTTTTATTTTTAATCAATTCCTTTAAAAAAAATTACGGTTATGCTAGAAGCATTTATGTTCAACATATATTACGGTTTTTTTTCTGTCGAGTTTTAACTTTCCGCGTTTTGCCATATCACACTTAACATAGCAACGCTGTTTATCGTTTTAGCCGTTAACTTCTGCTTGTTAACGCGATAAACAACTGTTCTTCAGTCGTGGTATTTAAATGCTATTCGGCAGAGTTATGCCCCCTTTTCATTGCCAAATAAGGGCATTCCGTCGAAAATTCAAGAACGTTTTGAGTATTTATTTAATTCCTTTCAAACTTAATATGATAATACAAAAACCAAACATGTTTAACATATATAACAGGTTTTGTTGTCGCGTACAAACTTCTCATACCAAGACCTCTGTTTACCTCAAAATCAAGGTTCTAGTTTAAGTAATAACAACATTGACCACGAAAGTGTAATTCTGAAACACAAAATAGCTTGCGCCATAAACAGTAAACGAATGGCAAGGTCACAGTCACCGACAAGACAGTGGCAGTAATCACATTTATATCATATGTCACTACCTGCTTCCAATATGTCAATACCTATCCGAGGGTCTGACGGTCGTATGATGATCTGCTCGCGGTGCCCTTATTGATTTACTTCACACCTACCGGTCACCAATTTTGACACTGCAAATACCTGCTAATAACTTCTAACCTTACACTCAATTTATCGTTAGTCATTTCAACCTAACACACAATTTTGGTAACTTATTTAAACCTTCCTTTAACTTACCGGCTAGTCTAATGCACATCTTCAGATTATTTCAACCTCAAAAATCAACCCGCTATCAGCCTGTCCGTCTTTTAGTCCCAGAGTAGAAGTCGCTTAAACCAATATAGCCAAATAACCCTTTTTTGACCCCGCCCTTTAGGCCCTTGGGGAGTCAGCCCCTCCATTTGTACAATTTTGAATCTCAACCTCCCATGAATGCTTTCAACCAAATATGATTGATATCCCGTGCATAATTCTAGAGATAAAGTTGTTATAGCAATAAAGCCAATTGCCCTCTTTTGACTCTGCACCTCAGCCCCACAATTTGTACGATTTTGAATCCCCACCAACTAGGGATGCCTCCAGTCAAATGTAGTTGAATTCCAGAGATAAAGAAGTTTCCGGTTTTACGGATTCTGGTGTTGGTGTTAGCTTGTGCAAATAGGTTACCTACTTATCTATATAATGGTAGGCATTTTACATTGTTATTTTGAGATGTGTCACACCACAAATATATTTGATCAGCCATTCCATGTAAACACCTGCACTGGAAGAGTTGAAAGTGTCACCTTTCAAACTGAACAGGATTCGGGTATCGTTCCCTTCTTAAACACATTGTTCAAACTTTACCCAGTGGCTAGCGAAATTTCAAGTAGTTGCCAAAATGAGACAAGGGTTGGTTGGTTGTACGAGGTTCAACGTCAAAACAAATACATAGCAGTGAAATGATACAAGGTGATCTTGATTTTTTTGTATTCTATTTATAGCGACTAGCATGCTAATTATTACCAAGCAGTAACGAACAGTTCACAATATTATTGTTGTAATGTAAGCATTAAAACTGGAAAGTTTACGCTTCAACAGAATGAAAAAAAATCGTTTATTGTTTCATTTTGTCAACAACGTTCTACTTGTTGAATACTATTTTTTCCAAGACTAATGCTACATAAAATGAATTGTACGAAACTATTTGCTGTGTGACAAATTCCTTTCGTAGGTTTCAAGCCGGTTGTAATGGGCTTAAGAATCTATTTATATTAAAAAAAACCAGTTTCCTTGCCTTCGGCTCAAGAATAAATTTATCACATAAACGTATATATCAGCTAATCCAATCAGTCTGTAGTCTTTATATTACTAATATTCTCCATTGGGGTATAAAGTGATGCCACTCTTTAAATACCATAAAGAACATATCAACGAGAAGGGGAAAATCCTAAAGCTAAGATAAGGGATGCAATCGCCAAGAAAAAAATATTTTGCTTTTATATGATTTATTACCTTGTTCGGCCCTAAATGATTGGAGAGCTTCACATGACCGAAAGAAAGGATGTCCTTCGTCCAGTAAGATCCTGTTGCCGGTGAGATAGGATGCTTATAGGGCGTGATCGGGTGATTAATCCCCGATTTTCCAACTGCCGACCAAACGTTGTCCTTGTACTTGTAACGCTTGTCATCTACTGGAATCACGGTCATCCCGATGCTGTACATACTGCTCGCGTTAAGGCCTTCCACGGTCACCTCCACGCGTGGATACATGAGCCTGGAAAATATACATAATAGAATTTCATCAAGGGTCTATCTCAAATTTTAGTAACCTGTGACTCAAAACACCCTCCGACCAAGTAACCGGTCAGATTGTTGTACAAGCAATGAATAACAACACAAATGTTGTTCATTTATACCAAATTTGATATTCCAAACCTACATGTCTTTACATAAGTATGATCTGTACTCAAACGGACAAATAATCCCTCACCGAAAGTTACAAAATTCGGTAAATAAGGTCTACAGACTTGGCTGTACATTTTTGCTAAAACGTCAAGAGAAGAGAGGAGTTCTACCACAAAAACAGGGAGCTTGCATTAAGATAAGTCTTTTCACGCAAGTACAACGCAAGTTCTGACTCCTCTTTGTGTTTTTTTCCGATGAACATTTGATAAGAAAATTCAATGAGCGTTGTGCTTTCAACCTCTTTAGCTTTTGGTTGCTCAAATATAAAAGAATGCTAGCTCATTTTCTATAAACATGCAATTATTACTGAGAAGCACAGATCTCACAAACAACGAAACGAAACGTCTTCAAGCAGTAAATGTTGTTATTGTTGCTATAGCGTTTAGCTAAACAAAACAATTCCTGACGCAAACTTAAAGAAGAAAACAAAACAAAAAAACAAAAAACACATCCTCGTACATAGTACCGCATAGCAACCAGAGTGCTGACTTCCAAAATAAAGCAACAGTCATTGGGTGAGTCTAGTGACGTGTTGAACGCCCAACAACTCGTCAGTATTCATTAACGTAACAGGCGATAAAATTGACGACCTTATCAGCGCTAAAATCTGACCGGCGCTGTCTTCTGCCCATGCGTGAGCCACGCAGCATGGAGAAGGGGACATGAGGTAAGAGCCTTCATTCGTAGATTCGATAATCCGTACCTGAGAAATAGGAACTCACGCGTGTACCAGGTGAATAGGAGTCCCAGGAAAAGAAAATCAGTTATAAAATCCGAAATTAAATGTTCTGTTTTGCATGCTGTAAGCATTTTAACGGTTTAATTTACGTTAGATGAATTCCTTTTTATGAAAGAAGATATTTAGTGTTGTTTGACTTGACCAATCACCAATCTAAATTTGTTTATGTGAAAAAAACATGCCGCCTCTCATCAGACAGAACTCTTTCCACTATTCTTTCAAAGTAAACCTACATGAATCAATTCAAGTTTCGATGCAGCTACTATTGTCTTCAATATATTAAGTTTAGTGGAGGAATTTCTTACTAGTTACAGTATTTATAAAATTTATTTATGAATTAATACAGTTTAAAGGTCATGATGCTGAGGGTCATAGTGCCGTTACATAGTGCTCGGTAACGGAAATATTTACGTTTTAGCATAGGTCGTTTATCTGGATTTTTCACAATATTTACACATGTGCTGAGTACAAAAATAGAGTACATTAAAAAAGCGAGCTTTTGTTGTGTAGAAACATATGTAAATGGCCAACAATTTAGTCTCAAACCGAATTCGACTTTTTTTTAAATGTGAAGCCCACATAGTCCACTTCATCATGTATATGCCAAATTTAGTGCTTTTTATCTTTTTATACTACAGGGGTTATTCATTGTACAAAAATACTGTACACTGCTACCTAAGAAAACGTTAAGTCGCCAATGCTTTACTCTTGTTGCCACGGCAACTAAAAGTAGCCACTTGGGACTCTGAATTATGTTTAGTTTATTTGTTTACCTTATTGTAGATGAAATTATATTGGTTGCATTAGATTGCTGATATTGTTCTTTCCTCTTTTAAAAAAATAAAATAAAATTATGGTGATTTAATGAAAATAATTCCCTTCATCACTAGTGGAATATTGTTTTATCACAATGAAAATATCTGTTTAAAGCTGATGTCAATGACTGTATCAAAAGGTTCAGCTTTTCAGTATTTTGAATGACACTGTTTCAACTCTTTGTATTGGTAAAACATGCCAAAATGTAACAAACAAAATTAATAACAATTATTTTCTTAAACTAAAAGCTCAATTACACTCTTATAATGCCCCATACCATACCAGACCGGTTTAATTTTTTCTCTAATTAGAGGGAGGGACAGCCAGAATCAATTAGAGGAGATTCGCACCTTTGACCATCGCACATGGGTCTTATTCGAATTTACATCACTAATGACCATATACACAACACACATTATATCACAGAAACCAGTCAATTATTGCATTTCAACTTACCAATACCGCTTAGATAGATCGTTAAGAAATGAACATACCTCCCAGATCTGTTGATGATCATTTCCGTTCCTTCCTGGCTGAAGCTCCGCCACAGCTCCTTGTTGTGAAGCTTCACATTAATGTTTGTTTTGGAGGCGTCGCTGGACATGTTCGGATCGAAGGAGATCCTGCTGCTTGCAGAACCCGGGATCTTGGAGGCGTCGCTGGACATATTTGGATCAAAGGAGATCCTGCTGCTTGTAGAACCCTGGTTCGTCTGAAGATAAGGACTGTACTCGGTTGATATCATCCTATCTGCCGGCATGTGCTGTAGCCAACGCTGAACCATTTTCTCGTTATCTTCTATCTCATATCTCGGGGCTGTATTAACACTCAACGATTGTTCGTCCCGTTTAAAGTCATGGAAAGCCTTTATCGGATCTTCCCTTACTTGACTGGTTCGTAAACAAAGGTCGAGTGGCTGAAAAGAGTAGCAATACAATTTATTAAAATCAAATGACGTTATACTCTGACAATATAATAATGTAAAGGTTTTGTTATACCATATATTCGATGATTGTCTGCTTTTAAGCAAATGTATTTAGCAATGGGTTGAAAGTAAATTATTTTAAAACACATTAATAGAAGGGAAAAGGAGAGAGAGAGAGAGAGAGAGAGAGAGAGAGAGAGAGAGAGAGAGAGAGAGAGTATAATGCTTCGATGAGGAAGGAGTAGGTGAAGACTTTACTGATGAGCAGTGATTCACCCCCAGCACTTCAAATCCCGAAGGTTTACCAAGCAAGAGGTGGACACAACATTAAGCTACAACAGTATCCAAACAACAACTTTCTAAATGTTTTCCGAGGAAGGAGATATGAGGAATAAAGATATAGAAATGCGAATACGACGGCAACGAACTACAATTTTGAGGTATATTGGCCTGTCCTTGCATAAACATCGAATCAACTGCCTTTCTCATATTGGCAAAATATTCAATATTAAAGCCAAAAGTGAGGTATCGCCAAGCAAGGCATTACGAAGCAAAAAGGATAGTTACATTCAATCAGTAGAACGGACAACTGTTCTCGATCCTCTATCTGCAGGGATGCCTGAACTGGTAAAGATACCACTAACCCATCCAAGTATTGTCACACTGCTTTAACTAGCTGCCGGTGCGAAACACTGGAAAAGGTATTTAATTTGCAACTTGAATAATATTTGGATTCTAACGTTTTAATAAACCAAGCACATCTGTTAACTTGTTCAGACTAGAAACATTTATAAGTAAGGCATTTGCAAAGAACGAACATCATGGTGCAGTCCTATTCGATCCTAAAAGGTTTACGATACCACATGGAAACATGGTATGCTGAAAGATCTCCACGTATCTGGTATGCAAGGACATCTACCAACATTCTTATCCCATAATGATTGTGGAGATATCCATAAATCCTATTACGACTCTACTGACCCCTCGGGTTTAAACTTGATTTTACGGGTCTGTTTATATGATAATAAGTAACACCAAACTAAACCTTCGATTCAGAACTTCTTAGCACGGAATTGTGTTTCTTACAAATACTCGGTTGTATCTGCCACCCGGGCTTGCGATTGGCGCTAACTGCGAGCCTTTGTGTGGAAGCAGACCCCTGTTGGGCCAAACCATCCACATGTATTGTCAAAATATGATATTATTGGTAACATTAGCGTAAAATTACAAACACGTCTATACTTGTAGCTTATATCATGTTCTTTAAAATAGAACGTGGAATACTACCGCAATCACATAGACCCTTTAACGGATGTTACTGTACCCTGAAAGGAATGCCTCGGTAATTTGGTTAATATTGTGGGATAAACGATCAATATCAGCAGAAAAGTATACATAGTTCAGAAATTGAAGAGTCAGAGGAGGTTAAGGCTTTTATCCTCCAAACAAGTATAGACTTCTGAAACTGATATCCAAATACATAGCGTCGTATACGTACGGTAGGTAAATTAAGAAAGCCTTTCAAACCTTTAAACTGTCCATGTTACTACAATCAGCAGTTACAAAAAACAATAAACAGGTAAATTGACATATAGAATCATGAAGTGAAATTTGCGTACATTAAAAACTTTGTATGCATTGCATGAAAGTTTTGTGAACCGTTTCCTCACAAAATGTTCTCTTTGGCGTAGTGACAATTATTTTTAGATTTTCCAGAGGCTGAAGGTTAAACCCTGTTTTCTTCTTCATAAAATGAAAATAAAGCAAAGAATAGAAACAACCAACAACAGCAGTCTCAAAACGAATATCCATAAGAGCATTTAAACAATGGAGACAGTTAATTGGGATCCGTCCCTATAAAACCTGAAATAGGTAAATGGTACATGCATCCCGACTATAGAGAAAGCCGCCGAGACCAGATTGTCCTTGCCCGTTTCCGGCTATAGAGAAAGCCGCCGAGACCAGATTGTCCTTGCCCGTTTCCTGCTATAGAGAAAGCCACAGAGACCCGATTGTTCTTGCCCGTTTCCGGCTTTAGAGAAAGCCACAGAGACAAGGTTGTCCTTGCCCGTTTCCAGCTATAGAGAAAGCCGCCGAGACCAGGACGACCTCCCTGTGTGCAAGATGCATGCGTGTAGTGTATGCGTGTGTGTTTTGGGAGGCTGCGATATGTTCGTGTTTGTCTCCTTGTGATAACGCGAAACGGATGCCGAATTGATAGTACATACTGCCAAAGACACCCAGCAGGACACTCCATCCGGTCATATTATACTGACAACGGGCGAACCAGTAGTCCCTCTCCTAAATTGTGAGCGTTTAGCAGGAGTAAAAACTACCACTTTTACAGACTCTGGTATTTCTCGGCCAGGGGACGGAACCCAAAGCCTTCCTCACAGGGGCGAAAGCTCAACTAAAGGCAAAAATGAGACATTGTCAAAGGAGACATTAGGAAGAAGAATGTTGTTTAGAAAGAAGATAAAAGATAAGATCCCAAATTAAGTCGCCTCTTACGATAATGAACTGGGGGCAGTAGGTACAATTCGTACGTCCTACCGGCAGGGACTAATGCGAATCATATTGAATTGCAAGCAAAAGTAATTGGGCCGAAAGACATAAAATTCCAATAAACGAAAAGAGTTAATACACTTACCTCATCCATGTCGCGTTTTAGGGACTAATGGTAGACCTCCTCAAAGATAGCTTCTTACAGATTTATATACGTAGATGTGAAGCTACTTTTCCAATATGCGTTGTTACTGACGAAGACACTCTTAGATATCAATACATGTGATAGTTTTGACACTACTGGAAACATGACGCACGGGCTTCAGCAAGGTGATAATTGAAAGGATAACATTTTGCTGGTAAAATGTTATTTACACATGCCTCGTCTCTAAGTTTTCTCGCCTCCCTACTACTGGTAATTCACCTTTTAAGCCAACCATCTTATTTGTTTGGCTATTTATTTCTCTCTCTTTTTCTGTAGTCTGCCTTTAAACAGCTCTTGCTGTCGCTTTTTCTCAGAAAGTGATGGAAGAATTTTTCTTAATTATTAGCTCACCTAGATCGAATGACTGTTGAGCTTATGCCATACCGCAGTGTCCGTCGTCCGTCCGTCAACTGTTCCTTTAAAATGCTACTTGTCCTGAACAGCTTTTTTGACTAGATTTGGCCTGGAGCATCCTTTGGCAGAGGGGACTAAATTTTGTATAAACGGAGGGTGTTGCCTCTCTGGGTGCTGAGGGGCAGGGACAAATAGGGTAATTTGAGGTTTAAGTCTTCAAAATCCTTCTTTCTATGTAGTGTTGGAGGGATTTTAACAAATACTTTTCTGGGGCAAACTTGGGTAAAGGGGATTCAATTTTGAATAAAAAGGGGGGAGGGGAGGGGGGGGGGGTGTCCCTCTTTGTGCAGAGGGGCCGCGTCAATAGGTGAAATCGAAGTTTATTCTTAAAAATCCTTCTTCTGTATTATTGAAGGCATTGATCAAAATTTGACCAGGAGCATCCTTGGGCAGAGGGAACTGGGTTCATTGAAAAGTTACTTTTCAAACAAAATCAAAAATATATTCGACAATTAATTTCTGCAAAGGTCAATATTGACATTGTTCTTGACATGGGTATACCAACCAACTTCCATATTTTTTGCATTTTGAGGAAAAGTTATGAGTCCATCACATACTATATGCACTGACAAAGGCATGTATGAAATAACTTAATATATACGATTGAGCATAGATGAGTGAGCGACGTAGTGTGTTTACGCATGTTGCAGAATGTTGTATAGGTAATATGTTTAAAGCGTATATTATAGATATGTAACATGATAGTGTAGAATTATGTAGTTACTAGTGCTATTTATATTTTGTAGCTTATTTCCTAGTGAGTGACTTGTCAGTTTTGTCTGAGGACAAAAGTATGGAAACTCGTATTTGCCGACGGTGTTATTGTCCATTCTTTTCCACCTACGATGCACTGAGACAGCAGTTTTATTAACTAACTTATACATATGGATATGATTATCCAGAGAGGGAACGTGTTGATATTTTCCCTAGTTATGGAGACATAGTACTCTATTATGGAGGCCGGGAGCAGGATGTGACATACTGTGGTATGGAGGCCCGGTAAAAGTTGAGTGGAGTTGAACTCCGACACAGCAACTGTGACTTCAGCAGCTGAGATACAGTTCGGCCATAGATGTCATCTACCAGTTGACCAGGAGGACATTCCTAGAATGTTTGGCTACTGATTGTGTTTGCCAGAAGACGGGATGGAAATTAACATTAACGGAACTTTGTGATCTGATTGTGTGGGAAGCTACAAAGACTATTCATTATATTATAGATTTAGGGATTTAGGTGTAATATAATATATATATCTATTTATAGATGTAAGTAAATCATAATATATATGTCCAATGTAGAATTGTATGAGAGTTATTAGTGAGTGTGAAAGAGTATGCTTATATAGATATGGTATATTGTAAATAAATGTATATTTGTAGATACTCTTTTGTTGTCAATTACAAATGAATCAATAGTTCGGCATACGTTAACAACTGGAAAGTCCCCCATCCTTCATAACTGTCCTCATTTAGATGTATTTCTTCAAATAGGTGGCAATTTCAACTTTAAACTATTTTGATTTTAATATTGGTTGTAACCTAAAATATCGTTCTGATTCCAGGACATACCAATACTAGGCTCGATATCCATAGAAGGGGCCCATGTTCTGTTGCAAATGCAACAGCCAATGAGGAGAATGACTAGGTCGGGAAGATATGTGAGGGAGCTATGGTCTCAACTACAAGGGAGGTCTATATGTGATAAAATGGCTTTATTGGACACTTTTGAATCCATATTAGGCCAAAACTGCACAGCATGTATACGTTGTTTGGCAATCATGAAGTCCATTTAATGATCATGTATTAAATCTTTATTGCAGATAATAATATCTTCAGTTTCAATCCAGTTTTATTGATAATTGCAGCCTCTTTGGATTTATTAACATCTTTCAAATCTTCCTGTACTACCTGAAATTCAAAAAAGAATGCATCATTTAATTTTTTGGTCATTTTTATCAGTCATGCTTTTTCCATTGTCAAAATTATTTTATTAAATTTCTTTAGACCTGACCAGGGCGGATCCAGATATTTTTCAGACAGGTGTCACCATATAGTGTTGCACAAAATTAAGTTAGATACCTGTCTTGGCTAGCCATCTTATACTTTCCAAACTTTCTTTATTTCTCAAATGTTTTAAACGTTAAATGCCAGAGTGGAATGAATCCTGAATATATCACTATACTTTTTTTGTATTCATTTATTTATGACATTTGGAAAAGGTACTTCAAACTACCCTTCAATATAACAGATGACACAACACTACAAACTTTTCAATTGAAATTGCTACATAGAATACTCTATACAAACTCTAGACTAATGAACATTACAGATACAGAGTTATCTCCACCTTTGTTTTTGGGCAAAATGGTGTATAAATGTATTTGGCTGATCCTGTTTGTTCCAATTCCTGTATTTATACTTATAGCTTATAAGGTTATGTTCATTTATAGCTGATGAGGTTATGTTCATTTATAGCTTTTGAGGTTATGTTCATCTATATGAGGTTATGTTCATCTACATGAGGTTATCACAATATATAGTTTATGAAGCTATGTCCCTTTTTTCAGGTCCAGCACCCCTTGTGAATGTGCCTGGAAGTGGCCCACCACTGAATTCGGGGGAGATGTTTGTTGCAGGTATACTATGATTTATTACACTTAGCAAGTAAAATATCGGATTCTATCAACTTGATAAAACTGATATATTTCACACGGACAAAACTGATATCTGTCACACTGACAAATAACAAAAGTGATATTTTTACACTGTGAAATATCACTATTTTGTATTGACCAATCATAACGGTATCTTCTATTCGCTGCATTCAAAGGCAAAGGTGTATTTTTTGTTCAGATTCAAATGAAGCAACAGTAGAATAAGTGGTTGTTATGGTACAGGTTTGGTACACACACGTAATTATTAACATAGATATACAATTAATAATATTTGTATACGCAATCATGCCAGAAAATAGCAGAAAATGTCAGAATTGCGTTGAGTATCCCATTCAAAATGACGCGCAGCCTTGTTGTCAAGCATGACGTAATTAGAATATGACGCTTATTATAACGCTTCTGATTCCCAACCTTTTTAATGCATTACATTTTTCATGTTTTTTTGCTTTAAAAATGTAGTAAATAGAAAATTTAATGGTGTCTTCAGTAATAACAAATATATTTTATTCGTGTCGCTAATATTTTGATAGAATATATTCGTTATTACTGAAAACACCATTAAATATCCTCTATAAATCTTTACTATCTTCTAGTATATGCCAAATAAAATGTTGATCCCTTCTTTAGAGCTTCAGTCTTTTCTCATTCAACATGCGATGAAAACTAGATTTATTCCACTGTGGCCACCATACACCTATCCAACCCCATAAAATATCTTTCTCCCACCTATATATATGTCGGATTAAGATACATGAGTTCCATAATCAATACACAGCACTCACAAATGCATGTCGGATACATGTATGCATGAATTAATTCTCCTCCTCTGGGGGGGGGGGGGGGGGGGGGNTTGATATGCATGTAGCATTGTAGGTGTTGTGGTTGGTGGAGGAGGAATGGGCATGTTACCTGGACCGGAGATGTACAACCCTATGAGTGGTGACTTCCAGGCACTGTAGTAATAGCACGCTTAATTAAGGTGTCCCTGTTCTACAAGTCAGTGAAACTTGACCAGTGTACAGGGTCCCAAGTATGTGTGAAACTTGACCAGTGTACAAGGTCCCAAGTATGTGTGAAACTTGACCAGTGTACAGGGTCCCAAGTATGTGTGAAACTTGACCAGTGTACAGGGACCCAAGTATGAGGTTCAAAAGGCTGGCATGTTGCCAGCTAACACTTCTGTGTTTCACAGAAGATATTTTGACATTTTCAACATTGTTGTTTTGAGCCCGAGAGATATCTTGACATTTTCAACAGTGTTGTTTTGAGCCTAAGAAAATCGATGCAGAGTTTGTCACATGTTTTTGTTCTTGCCCTTTTATTTAGCTGTACAGAAGTATATACTGTTTTAATTAAATTTTTATCTGCACATGCCATTATTCATAACTGATACATTTATGTACATCAGGCTTTATTATGTCTATGAAGATATAAATAGTGATAGTTTGATATCATTTTTACTGTTCTGCCATATGTCACTGCTGGATCAAATCTATTTTGTTACGGTTGTTAACACATTCATTTGATAATACTAGGATGTTGACCTTTGTCTCGGTTCCAAAATTATGTCAAATTGTCAACTATTTTTGAATTTGTGTCCACCTGTGTCTGTTCTAATATCTTCATTTCCCAACAGATTTTGATCAAAGTTATATAAAAAGTCACAATAACAGGAAGGATGGGTGTGATTCTACCGGTAGGTTATTAGTCTCCTGAGTCGACTGCATAAACAACTGTATTTTAAACTTCTCAGAGACCATTTGTCAGATTATAAAGACACTTTAGAGGTAATCATTGGCCTGTGATGGGGATCAGAAAAACCTTACTCAAAAAGGGGCTAACCCCGATGAGGCTAAGGAGT